TGCAACGCTCTGCGTGCTTTTAATTTATGTTGTGTTGGCCAGAAATCTTTATTTACGCGTTGAGTACGGGCGACTTCAACAGGCTCATAGATCACTTTAATGGCATTCGGTTTGTGCACTCCGTCTCTTTCTGTGCCTCATTGTCCCTCTCAATCTTCTGTTCTGATTTAAAGTACTCGGGTCTATCTGTTTTAGCCATCAATGAAGGCCGCCTGTTTCATTTTGGTAGGCTGTCGAGTGCGCGGTGGGCGGTGGATGGGCGTGGCAAAAGTTCAACAGTTCGACGGAGCACTTGATACGTTTTATGTTGCCGTTGTCATTGCACGTTGCACTCTCCGCTTGTCAATGGCAGAACTTGTACAAGTTTTTTCTTGGCCCAGCATTTTTTATCCATTTTCCGATTTTTTCGAACTTGACTTAGTTGGTGTGTGCACAACTGTACAACAAACAGGAATCATGTTGGGAATTGTTGATGCACTCGAGACACTCGAACTTGCAAAAAGGAAAAGTGAATCAGGATTGCAGCCGGTCGAAAATCCAACTAAATCAATGAAGTCTTGCGGAAATGGTGTTTAAATTGCACGAAGTCTTGCATTCGAATTGAGAGTATGTTTGCTTTGGCTCAAAGTCATAAGCAAGTCTAATAGTTTGTTAAAATAAATATAATTTAAAGCAACAGCTTTGGATCAAATACATTTTATTTTATTTACAAAAAAAAACTAATTTCTTAAATTTTTAGTTACGAAATTTATGTACTATTAATATTGCTCGATAAATATCACAGAAATTAAAATTTATGATCTTTAAACTGATAAATAAAATGGAACCGTAATTAATTGTGTTTTCACCGTTCTCAGTTCGGCTTCCCAGTAATCGAACATATTTAAATACCAAATAACAAACAACGCTGTACAAATACAATTGGAACTACAGCGAATCCATTGAAAAGCCCACAAAAGGTCTCATTTTATTTTTGAGGACCGCCGCATAATTTATTGAATATATTTCCATTGCCTCGTTTATTTTCCCTTCCAAAACGGAAGGTCAAACGGAAAATTAGCTACGCCCACTTATGATTGCGATTGGATCTATTTCAAAATTTATCTGACGAGTGCATAACCTTTCCAGTGCCCACTCACTGTTCGATTTCATTTTCGATTACACTTTTATTGATTACAAATACTTGTGTTCATCTCGAGCGACAAGTGCTGTAAATGGCACTTTTAGTTGAGATTTTTGTTTAATTTTATTCATTTTGTAAAACCCTCTAAAAACGAGTGTTGTGAAATCTCCCAGTATAACGGATATAAACGCAATCAGTGATCTATAAGGTTAAATTTTTAATGTGTTTAAAGTTAAATTTGTAATAAATGTTTTTGTTCTAGTTTTTCAATACCAACATACATAATAAATGTTAATAAATAAACAACTAGTGGACACAAATACGATAGTAAAACGAAACTATCGTAAAACGATCGTAAACGGACTTCAAAATAATACAAATCAACGAGCGTAGACTGAAGACTCGCTAAATTTTTCAAACGGACTTATAAAAGAACGTTGAGTAAACAAATACCGGGTCATATTATTTCACCTTTATGCCCAGTTTTTTCTCACTTTTATCGTTTTAGTTTCTTTAAATTTATTTATAGTTTAAAAGAGTTTTATGATATGCCTACAGAGGGTGTCGTCCGAGGCCGTCAAATGAACAAACAAAAACATGTCGTCAAAACAAATATAATTTAATTTCATCAAAATTACTTTCGGCTCGTTAATGATATTAAAAAGGCGTTTACGTTATCGTTTACGAAATTTTGGTCCACTGGGAATGTTGAATGCCTCTCCATTGAATGACATTCCTTACCGTTTCACCAAAATATTACTTTAATGACAGTTGCACGCAACAAGCCCTGATCTGAATCATTTTTCATTCCCAACCATATTATTATCATATCAAAAGTCAATGATATCCCGCTCGAAACATGGTCATAGAATTCATCGTCATTTGAATTGCTGACCTCCACATCTCGACACTTAACTCATCACCATAAACCGAAGCACGAACTCCGAACTCTGTCCCCTCGATTCCACTCCTTTGATCAATTAGAGGGATTGAGAGACTGCACTTGGCTCATGTCATATGCACTTTAGCCACACTTGGAAATATTTATGAAATATTTATGTTCAGCAATACAGAAGGGAAAGCTTATCTTATAACTTTTATATTCAACTTAAACATTTCATTTATGTGATTCTAAGCAGGACTTTTAAACAAAATTTGTTCAATTTTTTTAGAGAAACTTTAAGGGTTATTTTACGGTTTATTAAGAACATAAATAAAGTACAAAGTTAAAAGCAACTTTAACAAAAATGAACATTACCGAAAATTAGTTCAAAATACTTAGCTTAGAAAAATAAATTTAAATAAGAGAACAAAAATCTTTATGATAATACTTTTTCAGAACTATGCACTGTTTCCCATCTTTTTTTAATGTGTAATCTAACGTAGCGCCTCAAAAACAGAGAGGAATTATGAAAGAGAGGCACAGAGGGAATTTCCATTAGAGCCACGCAACGAGGGTTAGACGAGAAAAGTCTTTGCCAGAGCTGAAAGGGAGGTAGACACAAGCGCCGTCTATAATTTGTTGGAAGACACTGTGTGTGACACACTTCAAGTTGTCAGCATTTGATGGGTCACGGTGGCCACTCTAAGCCACTCCCATTCCCTCTCGAATCTGCCCCTTTCAGACCCAATTAAGCTATTTGTGGCCGACCATCACATGAAACACGCACACTGACCATTGGCATTCAAAAGACAAGACCCTCACTTTTTCCATTTATGGCTAAATAATTATATTTCTATTTTACTATCGATAATAAACACAATTTTCACTTTGGGTCATAACACTAGTTGACATTTTCTATTATTTCACATTTTTTTATGTGATCGTTTGACTTCTGTGGCTAAGCATAAAATTAAGTTTTTTTTTATGACCGTTTATTAGAAAAGTAATGTTTGTAGATATAAATGTTTTTATGGAGTCTAAGAAGGGGTGGGAAATGGGTCAAAGATCTCCAAAGATATGAAATTTGGCATCTAAGTTTATAGAATATGGTTCGGCTTGCAGAGGGAAAGTTTTGAGAATTAAATGATGATAAAATTAAAATAATAATATTAGCAGCGATTAAGTGGGTTTTTAACATATTTGATTTTAAGTTTTGATGCCTAACCTTTTATAGAATTGTTTTAAGAAGAATTGCATCGAAATATATTATTTGTACCTTTATCTTTGTCTTTTGTTAATAGATTCCCACCCACTTTATTTGCAACCCACAAATTTAGAACTTTACGGGCAGTTCCTGACATTTGTGGGATACTTAACCTCTCAACCAAATCCACTCAGCCACTTTGGCGATTCGAGCTGAAAACTCCAACTTGAACTCAACCTGCTTGAGGCGCTCTGAAGACAGCTCCAAATTTATGGCTGCTTCTACTTAGCACAAGTCAGAAACGAAGTTCTCATAAATTTGGCCAAAATATGACCCAGAAATGGCGGGGTGGTGCGGGGTGGATGATAATTTATTAGAGGGGCGGGAAGTGGCTTGGTCGGATGATTTAATCAAGTCGAGAATTAAAAACACGACTAGGCGCCAAGACGAATAGCAAGGAAAAAATGAGAGGCAAAATAACAAGTTTATCTGACAGATACAAGACAAGAAGTCAACATGTGGTGGAGAGTTCAGAGCAGGCCACCCATCAACGGCCTGTCAGTTAGTCATCTTCTGGATCACCATCACCATCACCGTCACCATCACTATCTGGCTCTGGTTCTGGTTCTGGTTCGCTTTTTGCAGCAGACACAAATTCAGTTAGCTGCGCTGCATACGAAAGTATATTGCAGATAGTATCGTTCCTGGTTGATTCGTTAGAAGGCAAAATTGTGCGGTTGACTGAACGCCCGACTGGCGGAATGACTGCCGGAATGCCTGACTGAATGACTCAATGCGTGTGCACTTGGCAATTGCCTCTGTAGGGGCTCTTGCTCCCCATTTGTGCGAGCATCGGAGTATCTGTGTATCTCTCGGATGCAATCTGTAAATCGCCGCTGGCAACTCACATACGGTTTCCCACTCTCTCCCTTTCTCTTTCGACCGCCCGCATGTTCAATCAGTTTATGTCAGTCGAAAAATTTGACGAGGGCTTCAGTTCTTAATTCTTGTTTTTGTCGCTTTTCGGTAGACAATTAAATTTCCCCAGAAATTCAATAACCGAGTCCAATGGAATTCAGGAAAGGGCAACATGTCACTGCATAGTCCGGCTTAGACAGCGCAATCAGGGATGTGCTATGGTTACTACAACCGGGATAGTTACTCAATTAAAAGAAATTCTGAAAACAACAATAATTTATTTTTATTTTATATATAATATTACTCAAGCGCTATCGCTTTCCTTAAACTTATAAATTATAGATACATTTTATAAAATATTTCAAAAGATTATACATAACGTTTTCCCTGGACTTTTGTCAATAAGGGAAAATAAAAGTTATAATTATATAAGTTGGGCAGATGTGCAAACTAAAACGCAGGTTTATTTTTACGTAGATACTTATCAGAATTTTCTAAAATCAACTCAAATGTGCCACCTGAATTTATTCATCATCGATTTTACCCAATGGCATTTTTCGAAGACGCAGAAAGTACGGCGTGTTTCAAGGAGCAGGCTTGTTGTTTTGCCCCTGCGCTTTTATCTCATGAGCTACATTGGATATCAAAGAAGCAAAGTAAGATACAAAATAACCAAAAAATTAATTTATTTTTTATGTATATCACCCTATTATAGAGAGCTTAGTTGCCCAACCTCATTAATATTATTTTTCAATTGAGTTACCTTTTCCCAATTTGCATAAGCCATGAATTCTTTACATTTTTTCTGAAGTTTGTCCCTATGAATGATGCCTCGATTCTCGGATTGGCTTCATTTGGTTGCCCAACATGCGCAATGTTAGGCTTCATTAACTTTTGCTCAACGATTGGGACATTTGCACTCAGTTGGAACACTGGAAGACCAATCGTCAGCTGGGCATATTAAATGCATAGAGAAGCGACTTTTTCAAACATTTTCAGGGTGAAGTTGTTCCTTTATTTTTGTTTGACCTTTTTGTTTTTCCTCTTTTTGGTTGGGCGCAATCATTTAACTTGCTTCGGATTTTTCGATTACTGGCTCGGATTTCTCGTTTCTTTTGTTTATTCTGTCAAATTGCTTTGTTTATAATTTCTAGAGCAGTACTATGTATTTTGTTTTCACCTCAAGTGTTTATTGCAAGTAAAAAGTGCCACTTGCACTTGGAAACAGCTGTTGCAGTAACGTAAATGCATCGGAATATCGGAAAAGAAAGGGGAAGGAATGAACCTCGGGGCGTTGAACTTATGACGATGCTTGATTCAAGGTGAGATTCACTGACTAAGGTAAACAAAATAAAGAAATAGAGAACAGGTCCATATTTTCTCCTTCTCCTTAAAGATGATTTTCCGTGCAGCACGATAAGAAAATTAAATTTGCTTCTCTTCTGTTTGTTTCTGAAGAATCCAAAATTAAAACGTTGCTAGCAAACATTTTACATAAATGTTGGGTCAATCAATGCCGACATTGATCCAGAAGTAATTTTTTCCATTTAAATTCAAAATGGCCAAGAAAAAAATTCACAACAAAAAGTTATGCTTGTAAGCTTGTAACGTAATTAAAGATACATAACCCACCATTGCAGTAGATAAATCGTATAGATAAAACCAAACCTCATTTTTGTCATTAAAAAAATTTCATTCTATCCCAAAATTAATTAATAAAGAAGTGAGAAAGAATTGATTAGAAAATAATACCATTTTTCATATAGGAAAAAATGTATTGACAAAAATTATTTTAATTATAAACTGTGCATCACCGAAGCTGCATTCTTTTGTATATAATGAAAGGGTTTTTGGTAGTTCTGATCCCCTTTTGAAGATTTTTTTTAACTCTAAATTTTCAAGCCGTCGTATAAATAGTATAGATCATTTTTAAATCCCGTTTTCTGATGTCACCGCTTTTTTTATTCAAAAAAGTGCATTATTAATTCAACAATAATGATATTTTTATGTGTAAACACAAATCAATTGGCGTGGTACCATAACAAATTTGTATATGTTTGTTGCCAAAGAAAGCAATGAAAGGCCTTCAAAACAAGTTGCTAACGTCAAGACCATACAGCCGAAAATACCAACATTAGAGGCGACTTCAACTTGATTAATGGCCCAATCCGGCAAAAGAGGGTAAAGAAAAGTGTACATTGTATATTTTGAAGGAAATTGAAAAGCCAATCGCACTGACGGAATTTCTCGGGACTTGTATTGATATTGCCGGCAAAACAAAACAGCCCCATACAAATGATGTGTCAGTGGTGCCGCTCAAATTCGACAGGGCAATCAAAATGAAGTTACCTCCAACTCAGAGGAGTCATTAATCAACAAAAGTCCCAGAAAAAGAGGAAGGGTCACCCTGTAATTGGAGTACAAAAAAGCAGTAAAAACGAGAACAAAAAAAATGATTTAAAATAAATTAATAGTGGTATAAGCTTAGAGAAGGGGTATTAATTCTTTGGTCAGGGCAATTCCAAACGTTTTTTAAGTTTTCCGAACAAAAGCCAGAGGGAGAAGATGTATAAATCCATTTGACTGCTATCATTGTCATGGCAAAGTGTCTAAAAGTTCGAATTGACATCAATAAGAGCCACAAGCCAGCAAGAGCAGCTTTTTAAGACTTTATTTTTGTAATAAATGCATGTTAATTTAGTATATTTTAAAACCTTTCCAAAATATTTCAGAAAAATTTTCCTTTTCTGAACTTTGAATAAAATATTAAATATTTTTACGAACCATTTGTAGTCTTCCATGGTATTTGAATGCAGTAAAAGTCCCAATCCAGTCAGTAAAAGTCCCACACAAAAACGCAAAAGCGATACATTAAATTATTAACCCATACAATAATCGAAATCAGCAAAGAATAGTCCGATCTTAATAAATGATATAGAAATCAAAAGGTATCGCTTTTACAAGAGTTTTAAAAAATCATTTGATTCCGGAAAAATGGGGGCGAAAGAGCGAAAAAAAATGTTCCTGTTGAACACCTTTAGAGCAAAAATTCTTACTGATTACAAAACTAATTAAATAAAAATAAAGTAATTATTTTGTGATATCAGAAGTTTTTGGAGTTGAAGGGTGCGATCGTTTAATTTAACCTTGTCAAGAGGTGTTTTTGTTTGATATCTTGTATATGGCTTAATTTCAGTTAAATTATAATTTACTTTAGTATTTATGGGAATATAACTAAAATTCTTAGTAAAGTGAAAGCAAACTAGTGTTGATCTACTTATATTTTGGCTCACATTTTTTTTAGTTGAAGCAACTTATAAAACAACTAAAATTGTTTAATAACTTTTATAAATTATTAAAAATTTTAATAATTCTTAGTTACATTTATTAAAATAAATACGATTGCCTGTTTTGAAATCCATGCATCGGAGGAATCCCGATAGTTTTTGTTAAAGCTATTCATCACCAGCACGTTGATATAAAATAAGGAGAAGTGAAAGGAAAAATGCAAAGACAGAAGAAAGGGACAGACTTCTAATGGCAAAACTGTTTGAAGCCCCTCCGCAATAAACACAAGCCACTCAGCTGCACAGGACTTCCCCTTCTCAACTGGCAAATAATTAAAATGGTAAGCAAACCAAAAAATACACAAAAGTGTGCAGAAAATAAACCATCAGAATATGGCATGAAAAGTGTGTGCAAAACATAAACACAAATTAAATTCAAAGTGAGCGCAATGAGTAAAATAGCTCAAATAAAAAACGAGGACACGAAATAAAATGGCGAAAAACAAAAATTTAATTCTGCTCATGCCAAGCACGAAACAAGAAATATGAAAAATCAGAAAAGAAAAGCAGAGTCGGAGGGATTTGGGTAAGTTGGTCAGACCGCAGGCGATTTTTTTTTTTTGGGATAACGATGGGGCGGTGGCGGGTGGGCGTGGCCGTCGCACAAATTTTTAGTTAATTAAAACTAAAAGTGAAAACGCGCAAATTGCGGGTAATAAAAGCGCTTAAAGCGACACAAGGGACACCAGAGGGTAAAAGGGAAAAATGAGTGGAACCGAAAAGAAGCGGGCAGTGTGAGCAAAATGCAAATAACGTTATACAGTCAAAAGAAAAATAAAACAATGGGTGAAAGAATATAAATAAGGAACAAAATTAATGAAAATTCCGCTTAAACACATCGTCTTTTGTTAGTTTAAAATGTGTTTTATATAACGACATAACAATCGCTTTTGGATGATATAAAAAAGCTCAATTCAAATTTAATAATAATATTCAACAACTGGAAAATGACCGTACTTTTGCCACTTCTTAATCTTAGAAACTTATTTTGTACTGTGTAACAGCGAGCCGAAATTTGCTGAAATAAATAGGAAAATATGCAGGCTGCTGTGGACGCAAAAAAGAAGGCCCCAAAAAATGGAGAAAAAACGAAACCGAAAAACAAATGCAATTTACAATGCTAACACAAAAACTGGGCGAAGAACTGAAAAAAATCTAAGAGAAAAGCAGCTACGAAATAAGAAAAAATATTTTTTTGGCTGAGAAATGGGCGGGATAAGTGAGGAAGAAGGCGTGGCTGAGGAAAAGCCTGTGCGAGAACAAATGCTGTGCTAGACTGGAAAAAGAGTTGGGAAAATGCGTACATAGGGGATGCGGTAGAATCACCAAGTCTCGCTTTGTTTAGCTGCTAAAAAGCTGGACAGCTGGGCACAACACAATGGTGAGGCAAACGGGGAAAACTGGGAAAATGTGCAAAATGAAGCGCCGCAAAAAACAAGAAAATTATTTAAGAAAAGGAAAAGTGCAGGCAAAAACGAAGGGGATCCCAAAATGGGGGTTCTTTGTTGTATTTAAGGTGACAAAGGATTAGCAGGATAACAATAGGATGTTTTACTACAAAAGAAAGGGAGTGGGGTGGGGGAGGGGGTGCACTACAACTTTTCCAGTCCGGTAAAGTTTATAACAAATGTCTGCGATGTGATATTATTATATATCGTTATTCATGAATTTTTCATATTTAAAAACTTTTGAATATTAATATTCATTGGGGCAATATCTTGACCAGCAGAACAAAAAAGTTAAAAAAAATTGCAGATTAGTTCGACAAAAATAAATTGGGTATACTTCGAAAGGGTTACTTCTCTCTGTTTTTTAGCACAAAAAATAGTATCTCCAAACCTTTTGACCATAGCTGTGGGAAGAGGTTCAAGAAGTGTTTTTTAAGTTGGTTTTTTTTTTATTTCTTTCTGTTCTACTTTCCACAGTTTTCTACTGCTTTTCTCGCTCTCTTCTGCATGACAATTAGGTGCAAATGACTTAAGACGCATGGGGCAAAGGAATCTGTGGAGTTCCAAGTGCAAGAAAAAAAGATTCCAATGGGAGGTAATCTTCCTACTCTATTTCCCGAAAAAATAGAGCAGATTTTCCTTGCTTTTTCATGTTATTTCAATTGCACTTGTCGTCCAAAGAAATGGGGTTGCCACATAATAAATTTCCTAAAAATAAAATATTGCGGAGGGAAAAACACTGCTAGTGGAAATTATGAAAAATGCCAAGTAAAGTGGCTGAACCAAAAAAAAAATCATCATTAAAAATTAGCTCCACTAATTTGTGTGAAAAGTGGGTCACACAGAGTGGGGAAAGGGGCGGCTGGGGGCCTGCTTTTGGCAAACAGGGGCGTGGCGAAGGGGGACAAGTCAATGAAGCCACAAACGTTTAATTGTTTTAATGCTTTGAATTAATTGAATGTGCAAGAGGCAGTGCCTCCAATTTTCCCCACAGAAACTGCAGCTGCGTTTGTTTACTCCCGCCAAAATGTTTGAAGTGGCTCCCGAGGAAAATAGATGGTGTGGTGGAAAAGCCCGGGGATCGGAGATGGGCCGTGGGTGGGATGGGTGCCGTCAGTGAGGCAGAACGAATTCGAGCTAATAGACTGATTGCAAAAGTTGCAGCAACCACACAGGAAAAGCGAGGGGAAGCGGAGAATACATTGGAGAAGTGAAAGTGTTGGGAATCGATTTGAAAAGCAAATAAAATGGACTGCTGCATGTTTAAGCCAAAGGCGCCAAATAAAAGTGGGTGGGAAAACTGAAGAAAATTGAGGAAATATATATATATAAGAGGGAGTGAGAAAGGTAGAGTATATATGCGTACTGCGGAGAGGCAAAGAGAGTCGAGAAATCCAAGATAAAAGAGGTCCCACACTCGTTTTTATAATTAGATTCAATAATTGTTTATGCCCTAAATGTGAGTTAGCACATCGTTAAAGAATCGGAGGAAATCCAGAGGGAAATTTTAACGTTAAAGATCACGAA